AAAGCTGACTTCAGTAGATCTCTTATCATAACATAGCTTCATGGAATCAGCAGACATTTTCAAGTTTGAATGCACTTGATGGTGAATATCACCCATCCTTTCGGATAATACTTTCACAAACTCTGATACATTTTCAGGCAACTCTTCGTAAGGTGGGCATCCTGTTAACAGACCCACTGCCAACAGTAGTTCCCTACCAAACATAAACTTTGCTGGAGTATATCCAGTGGTATCATGCTCTGCTGTCCTATAGGAATCAACAGTGGAGAGAGTAAGACATCCCAGTCATCTTGGCGACTATTACAAAACTTTGCCAATTCCTGTCCCAGTGTTCAGTTGTATTTTTCTACCATCCCATCAGACTGTGGGTGAAGTGGATTGTTCTGGTCCTTCGTATGCCAAACAACTTACAACATTAATGGAACACAGCTAATATAAAGTTACAGCCTTGATCCGAATGCAGTTCATATGGCATACCAAATCTGAAGAAGAAATCACTAATTGCCGAAGCTACAGTTGTAGCTTCCTGATTTGGTATTGCATATGCCACAGGCCACTTGGTGAACTAATCCATCATCACACAAATGTACCTGTTTCCAGCACGAGTTTGGGGCAGAGGACCAGCAATGTCAACGGCTACTCTTTCCATTGGTGCACCAACTTGATATAACTTCATTGGAGCACGTCCCTTATGCTTGGGTCCCCCTTTTAGCACAACATGTACTGCAGGTCCTGCACCATTCTTCCACATCTTGTCTCATACCTATACAGTAAAATCTCTGCTGTAGGTGATTCAATGACTTCTTAACTCCGAGATGTCCTCCTGTTAAACTATCATGGGATTGACGCAGCACAACTTCTCGTAACTTTCTCGGTATAACTGTTTGCCAGGTCGTCACTTTCCCATCTGCAGTTTTGCATCTCTGGAGAAGAATACCATCTTCAAGCTTCAACTGGTCCCATTGTGCCCAATAGTTCTTTGTCACAGGGCTAAAGCTAGACACCTTCACCTAAACAGGGAGCAAAACACTTGCTTTTAAAAAATCAATTATTGACTTCAAATCTTGGTCTTTCTCCTGTTCTACTTTGATTTTTATATTTGGTTCCACTTCATCATCATCAACTCTTCCAGTCACTTTGACTTCAGCTTGATGGCACCTGGTTAAGTTCAACCTATCTTTGCAGTAATGTCTGCAGTCATATTTGCAGTCCATCGGAATTTCCATGAGATTTTCCGTCTCTATATTTAATATCATAATTATACTGGTCTATTTTTCCGATCCAACGTGCCATTTGTCCCGCTGAGTTCTTTAATAATCTTAACCAGCGTAATGCAGCATGGTCTGTCCTGATGGTAAACCTAGCCCCACAGAGGTAAGGATGAAAATATGTCAGACTCTTAACTATAGCAAGGAGTTCCCTCCATGTTACACAGTAGTTCCTCTTTGGTCTACTCCAAACCCTACTGAAGTAGGCCACCACATGTTCGTTCTCACCCACTTTCTGAGACAACACTCCTCCAATTCCAACATTACTAGCATCACAATCCAGTATGTACGGCAGTGAGGGGTCTGGAAGCTTTAAAAGTGGAGCTGAAGCCAATTTTTCTTTCAATGTCTTGAAAGCATGCTGACAAGAAACCGTCCATTCAAACTTCTGGCCTTTTTTTATCAAATCATGTAGTGGAGCAGCTA